AGGTGACCTAAATATTCTTGCACTTGAAGCAATTTATTAAAAGGCATAATATACCAGAATTATTTTTACATATTATCTCTATGAATACACAAAGCATTTAGAATTAATCTCTGGAGTGATTTTGTTAAAATAACACAGCATCAGTTTATGACATGATAGCACTTGGAAATCTATATTGCAATATTCCTTACCTGCCATTGTATGAACTTGTATGTAAAAATCTATTTGTTATGAAACCAAATGAGTTTAAATCAGGTAAGAAAATAGTAACAATGATTTACAATTAGTTACTACCTTATAACATATACTGTGTTCCTTAAGTGTAATATACATAAGCTAAAGCCTTTTAAGATAAAGGTCTTGATGTAATTAATATAAAGTACTATTATTATTTCTAGAATTCTTCATATTTCTTCAATGAAACTAGGAATACGAATATGAAATTATTTAGAAGTGAGTGCCTGGCTCTTCTTGATGTCTTGAAATAGCTATGTGCAAACTTCACATACGTATCCATTCTGCCCCAAACTCAGATAAACAGAGGCCGAATGAGGACAGAAGCAGGAGCTAAGAAAAGATGGACATTCAGGAGAAACTAAGTAAAACCCTAATGACAGTGCATTCCACCAGACCCAGACAGAGGTGGACACATATTCAGGAGACTATCTACAAGACATCTGAATATACATAGTGCGGAGATATGTACAAACATATTTACGCTTACTGTATGTTTAGAAAAAGTAATTTTTATTGTGTACTATTTTTAATTCTTAAGGATTTGTATAAACATTACAATGATTTGTTGTAGAGTTGATCTACATAAAATGCAGAAACTACACTTGGTTCTGCATAAAAATTTCAATTAATCCTAGGTAAGTCAAAATTGGCAGGATTTTACAGAAGTATGTTGTCACTTCAATCATGTTTCTAGCCAAATGAAGGGAAATCGAACTATATCATTAAAGCTTATAGACTATAATTGACTTAAATGATGCAAGTTACCTAATGAGTCACACAATGGAAACTTGTGACTCATTCATGAATGACTACTCTTGTCAAAATGATTCAGATATAGAAAAAGATGGTGTTTCTGGGGATGAATTCTTGCCTATCAAGCATAAGTCAGGGATGTTCCTGGATACAATGAAAGAGGAGCAAGAGAGAAGGAAAAGAGACAGGAAGAGTGAGAAAAGTGGGGAGAGAGGAGGAGGAGGGAGAGAATAAGGGACATTTTCAGGATAACAGCATTAAAATGTGGGAAATACAGGATAATACCACAAAAGATGGGTAAAAAGAGGCTGCAGAAAGTTCACTTGAGAAGGCCCTACGTTTGATCCATATCACCCACATCAGTTAGTTCATACCTGTTTTTAAGATCAGTCCCAGTATATCCAATGCCCTCTTCTGCCTGCCGTGGACACCTATATGTACATAGTGCATATATACTCACAGGTCACCCACACAAAATTATAAATAAATGAAATAAATGGTTCTATTTTAAAGGATGGCTAAGGCCACAATGGTTTGGTTTATTTATCTTCTCTTTTCCCAAACTCCTCTGTTCTTAAAACCTTTTTAATGAACTAAAGGTAAGAAAAAGATATTTTATTTTCACCCATGACTGTAGATGTATTCAGAAATGTAGTTATTTCTACACTCAGGATATTTGTGTTCTAATGGATCATGACAGAACGCCTTGTTGTTAGGGAGAAAATGGAGACAGGAATCCATTTTTATATTGATATAATTTTAGCAAGCAATATCTAACACACACAGGGCCCTGAGTTCACTCTCCATCAAAACAACTTTACATAATCAATTCATTTTCCAGAGCTATACTGAGATACTTCATAATGATTTTCGCTTTTAAACATATTTTTCAAGACAACTGTAAAGCAAATCTTAAAACTGGATATCTTAATCAAAATGCCCTCATATTATCATTTCATTTAATATAATGAGAAAAACAAAAAAGCAGTTGAAGTCCAAGGAAATATATTTTATGACTATAAAACTGTATTGCTTAAACTAAAATATATTGTGTATGTCTATAGTAACTTGTCACTCATTCATAAAACTCCTACAGCTTTAACAGGGAAAATGCATACCACACATGATAATTCAATAAATACTTATTGGATAATTCATTATATCAGCCATTTTCTTGTGTATTGAAACCATAAAATGGCAGAAACTAATATCATCATCATTATTATGCCAAGAACCCATACTCCATAGGGAGAAGACAGAAGCAAAACATATGTCACTGTGAAAAATAAAACAGCAGGAAATCATATCCTTTAAAGCATGACAGAGAAATACACACATGGAAAAAAAACTTATTTATACATTTGCTCAAAAACAAAGTATCTAATTGTATTATCCGTATGGATTTGTCATATTGAAACTTAATGTCAAAATTCTCAGTGTAAGAAACACATTATTTTTCATATATGAGACAATTTCACAGTACATGCTTAGGAACATATTTTAAGCACCCAGGAGGTACTAGGAAGCCCTGTGAATAACCACATTCATGCAGAGTCCTAGATCTATTTGAGCTAGATGCTACGAAGTACCACATTTGCATATCTGGAACTGAATAAGCCTGTCTTCAGGTACTCATATTTTGTTTAGAGGTGTCACAGATTGTAAAGTCTAAAATCAAGAGATCAATTATATGTGCTTCCCATTGTTGTGGAAACAAGACTACAAGTGTCTTATTTGTTTATTTATTCATTATATGGTTGATTTGCACAGACCTTCCTATTAAAATGTTTAAAGTCAAAATATACCATACGATCACTCACAGCATAAACACCACTATAAAACTCAGATATTTCTGTCATGGAAATATTTTCATTGTGAATTCAATTTCAGTTTTCAGAAAAAAATGAATTTTTGATAAAATTGAAATCTTTAGCTTTTATATTTTGGTTCATCATACTTATTCTATTCTTGTAAGTGGCTGATTGGAAATTAAGCACCTATTAAACTATCTAGATCTATTTAGGAACAACATAATAGGTGATTTTTGGATATTTAGATATTGTATTCTCTCCCTATATTATTAAAATAGTTAATCTATACTGCATGTGGATGTGAAATTGTCCATCCCATTCATTTATCTTTTCATCTTTCTTCTTAATTTAAAAAGTAATTATTCTGAGCAATCATGAGAATTAATAGTCACCTTGACAACACTTCAACTGGGAACATAATGTCAATGAAGGCTTTTATAGACCAATGTTGCCTCTGAGACCAAACTATGCAGAAAATATATTCCCTTTAATATACTAATTGGTGTGAAAAGACACAGCCATTTTGGGTGACACTCTTCCCTGGACTTTCCTAGACTCCAAAAAGCTAGAGAGAATATCAAGCACTGGAAGCAAATTGTATGCATTCATTCATTTCTGTGTACCCTTGACTGTGAATATGGCATCATGAGCTAATCCTCTGAAACTGTAAGCAAGCCTCCAATTAAATATTTCCTTTTAAAAATTGCCTTGGACATGGTGTTCTGCACAGCAATAAAACAGTATCTAAGGCACAGCAAATGATTTGTTCATAGTTGATATCCATATGAAGCTTCTTTTCTTCTAAACAAAAATCCTAGCAACCTCTTGTGATGTCTTAGTAGTCAACTTCATTCCATATATAATCAACTAAATACAGATAACCTGAAAGAGATTTTCTTGATTGGATCATTCCAGGTGCAAAGACCCATTCTGTATATGGGCCACGTTTTCTGGTGGCAGCCCACACAAAAGAATGTAAGAGAAGAAAGCTTTGGTTTTGCCTGCTTGCCCTAGTTTTCATTGGGAAGTTAATCTATTCAGTTGTCAAGGCATTTTTCTCAGTTGATACTGCAACCTACCTCTTCAGAAATCCACAGTATACTGAATCAATAGTTCCTTAAGAATCCTTGGGACTTTAGGACCACATTAGGAGTGCAGAGACATCCAGTCTCTTGAAATGAGCACACCAGATTATTTGCCTTTATTTCGGGAGACCAGAATTGTTGAATTACACATACCATAGTTTTTAAGCCACTTTAATAAGTGGTCTTTGAATGTACACAAGTCTATCATTTGTGCTCCTGTGGTGTATCCTTACAAACACATCATAAAATACATGAGCTTAACATAGAGTTAGTTGGTGTTCACCATTTATAGTCATATTAAAGATTTTAGCAGTTTGCAATCATTCCAGTATTGAGTCACCTTATCTTCTCAGATCTGCTGTCTGTATTTTTTAAATGGCATTCTACCTAAATTGTAGCAAAACTCTCCTTCTCAACTGATGTTAGGCTTGTAGATAAATGCTGATAGAGAACTTGTTTGTGAATTTCCCATGTCTTATAATTAAGAATTTTAGCTTCCTTCTCATTGACTTCTCAGCTAAAGCACATTTTTTATCATCAAAAAATCATGAGGTATCAAGGATAATTGTTTATCCATGAATGTATCCCACTTGCAGTAATGATCTAGTGCTTAAAAAAATTGTATATAAGACATTTTTATCTCAGACTAGGTTGTAAATTAATCGCTTTTTCTTGTCAAGGTCAAGACAATTTTCCAAGCTTAAAAACAAATCTTTTATTTTATTTCTCTTCTTAGTGAAAGTCGATAAAATTTCAAGATTGTAATTCACTGGTTAGATTCATGTACTTAATTATAAATTATAAAGTGAATAGAGAATAGAAAGAATAAAGAACACAGAAATATGGGGAATGGGAAGAGAAGCAGGAGGAGGAAGAGGAAGGGCAATACTGCTTTATTCGTGTTATTAATATTCCTGTGTATTTCTCTGAACCATGATCATCATTTACTAAGATATAGGAACTCATCAGAACAAACAATAAGAATACTTTGCATGAACTACAGGTAGCTTAAGAAAACGTTATATGCTATTCCGATCTTAAATGCAGCTCTTCTTTTTGCTGCAACACAAAAGTACTGCATGGACTTCATTAAGAAAAAAAAGTCAGTGATTACCTTATTGAGTTATTGTTATTTGCCAAAGGCTGTTGTAGGTATTAAAGAAGCAGAAGGAAACCAGATCTGGAACCCCGGAGAGTTACATTCTAGGAGACAAAGAAAACATGAAAACAATTAATGTTAAATCAGTAAAATAATTGATTAAAAGTGTTGTATCGATGTTGGTAAGTATTGGGGAAAGTAACGTGGAGAGCTTAGGCAACTACAATGGCCAAAAGGAACGATAGCTGTAATTTAATTGAGGATGAGCAGGGATATCAGGAACTTTGACGGCAATGAGGATATTTGTGTCAAGTCTTAAAGATAATGAGGTCAGAAATCCTTGAAAATATTTGTGCCCTGAGTGTTCATGGCTGTGAAAGTCTGAATGCATGGGAAAGAGAACTGGCAGCAGAGAGTGCACAGGAAGGCAGATGCAGGGAAGGAGAGCTAACAGAGGAGAGTGCAGAAGTAGGAGGGTGTGTGTGGAAGAGAACTGACTGCAGAGAGTGCAGAGGAAGGTGGGAGGAACAGGGAAGGCACACTTTCCAGCCAGCATGGCAGCTTAGTCTTTCTGCTTTGAGCAGTGTGTTTTGAAGGACCCAGAGTGAACAGGATCAAACACCGTCATTTAAAGTGATCCAGTTACCTGTTGGCGCATTACACTGCCTTTTTCTGGTGAGAACTTTACCAAGCAGTGAGAAAAGTACCTGCTTGTTTATCAATGACCTTTGGATAGTTTCCCACAACTTTACAAGATCGGAAATGACATTAAAATCATCAAAACGAAAACTAAAATGCAAACAGCTGTCTATATTTTGTATTTCAGTTTCTCGCCGTATGTGAACCAGCAAAATCAAACCATATCAGTTTTAATTGAAGGACATTTGATTTCTGAAATTATTGTAGGTTAATGACGATACATTGCTTCACTTGGCCTTGTCTTTTAGGCTTTGTCAATATGTAAACTACCATGAATGAAGTAGAGTATCAGTGCATTTCCTTATATGTTCTAAAGTGTAATTTTCAAATGAAAATGATGTTAACAGAATACATATCACACAAAAATACTAGAAAAGTCTTTGTAGGTTGGTTATGTTCCACAAACTGAGTGCCTTAATATTACACAACTATGCATTGTAATTCTTTGGAAATAAAGGCAGTATATAAGTCTACAGAAAAACTCTTTTCTTTTTTATTACCTATAAAAAGTGTTCTTCCTACTTGCCTTAAAATTGGGGCAGTTCTTGGAAGCAATCAAAGAGCTATGCTGCCACCTACTGGCCGAATCCTTAGCATTTACAAGATTGCAATTCCTTGCCTTTGAAACAAGCAGTAATAAATTATTTACATCATTCATTTTATAAGTAGATGCTTAAAATTATGTGTTAATATATTTAAAGTAACTAACAGGTGGGATGCTACTTGAGGTGTTGTGCTATTTATAAACAAAAACAACAATACAATACTCTTGGTTTTCTCAGGTGGCATTTTATGTTGATAATGGAATAAAATATATTATGATTTCCAGCGAAATCATTGTTGGTTTTAATCAGCGTTATAGAAAATTTAAACTTAAAAAGAGACAATTCTTTGTGGTTTCTCAGAATCAATGCATTCAGTTTTAGAGACCAAGCTATAAATTGCTTTTAAAAATGGAAAACTCCAAAGCGTGTCTTGTTTAATGACTAACTGTATTAAAAGTGAGTCACTGAAGCCTTAATAATACACTGGCTTTTTGAGCATTAATGTTCCTAAAATAGCCCTGCACTTAAAGCCCTTCCATCCAGAAACATTAGCACCTAAGCGTCTCACTGCAGCCTGAGAAAGTGGCCTTGTTCTTCTTTCTGGGTCTTTTTGTTAGAAGAGGGGATGTGATAGGTTCTGTCTTAAGAGGCATTCACACTATGACATGTTAGCACTGAGGCACTAGAGACCTTCATAGGGTCCATAACCCCAGATTCTTTGATAGTGCAGTCCCTTCTTATTTCTCCTTCAGGAAAAGCATATGTTACACCCAAAAAAGGTGCTTCTCTTAAGAAATGGAAAGTTTACATTTCTGATAATGCAACAGAAAACAAAAATAAAGGAAGGAATACTAAGGCAATTAGATGCTTAAAACTTTTAAATCTTGTAGTGGGTAGCTTATGTTTTTCACTGATGCTCCATCAAGACAAATAAAAGATCCTGCCATGAGTATCTCTTTACCTTCATTTGAAATGAACATCATAAAAACCGGGGAAGGAAAGGGTGCATGGAATGAAGCCCGTGCATGCTCTCAGAGCAAAGCCACTTGGAGCCAGCCGAGCACTTTGAACAAGCAGGCTTTAATGTTTCATCCCTGAATCCTTAATCAAATAGATTGCCTCATCAGAAAGATTTTTTTGAACACTTGCTTAAAATTTAATTTGCCTTTAACAAAGCAAACTCCCACATTTTTCAAAATATGTTTGAAGCTCTGTGCGACGCTTTAAACTTTGATAAGGAACTGCAGCCTGTCTCCCTTCGTGTTGCTGTGTACACATCACACATGGTTTTCATTTCTGCTGGCCACTTACCCCCTCTTTCACTCTCTCCTTCGTTAGTTCTTCCTTCTGTGTGCTCTTAACACAGCTCCGGAGGATCGTATTCTTAGACATAAAACAGTCAAATCTAATAAAGCAAGCTCAGGTCTCTTTTCTTTATATTTCGATACAATTTATTCTCAACCATGCACTTAGAACAACAGTCACCTCTTTAAACATAGAAGTAAAGAGTAAAATAATCTGAAGTCCATATAGAATTTGAATTGGAATACTTAGCACCCTTATGTTTTATCTGAATTATCATTGAATTGCTTTGCACTGCTTGGTTTATACCCAGAAAACTCCATAACCTACCACAGAGATGTTTGCTCTCTCTCTGTCTTTTGCTGATTTATTCTTTGTGGCTAATAACTAGACTCATGGAAGCAGATGAACAGGTAATGGAGAATATATATAAACATATATATGTATATAGATATGAATATTATTCAAGATCAAAGATAAATGAATTTTGAAATTTTGCAGGACTAGAGATGCATTCAGTGAGAGATTGTCTCCAGAGAATAAGTTACAGAATTATATACCAATGTACCCGATGTCCTCTGACCTCAATAATCTTCAGTCATATTTCTGGGTATTTGTAGTAATTATTGAAACTATATTATCTAACATAATTTAATTGTAGCATAAAGGCTCCAAAAGATTTTATTGAAGGATTAACGTGGTATTAGCTTCACATACCATGAATTAAAATTTCATTTTACTACTAACATTGCACAAATACTGTTTTAATACAGATTACTTTATGTGTGTCTGATTAATTTCACAATATATATATTTAGAAAGTCGAAATATAGTCCTGATTTTTTCAAGTACAAGATTCAGACCCTGTTTCTGGTTACTAAGAGGGCAGATTGTTAGTTTTTCTTGATTGTGGAGAGGAGGATGTATCCCTGGAAAATTGTGTGCTGTGTAAAATACAAGCTATACTGGGATAAAACATATAGATGTCATGTATTATGGTTGGACTAGAATCCCCAATATTTGAAAACGTGTAATATAATGAGGATAATAGGGAGACCCTCTTCTTTGATGTTTATCTTGGTAAAAATGAAATCTCAAGTTCTATTGTGTCTTATAAGTTTATAAAAACAAATATTAATGAATGCTATACAGATTTTAAAAACATTTAAACTCAAAACTACAAGTATTTATAAGATCTTCATCTTGGCAACAAAGAGATGGACATAGGGGAATAAAACAAACCTTGTGCCTTATGCAAGGAACTTTAACAGCTGAGTGGCACAATTTAATTACACAATCTTCCAAATTTCTGCTATAAATAGAAATACCATTTTTCTCAATATACTTTCTTAAACATAATTTACTGTCTAGATAACATTAGTGATAGCTCTCTATATCTTATAGTAACGCTAAGGTTTCATTTGAGTCCACCAACATTTCATTTTCTCCTCGTAGTTCACTGTTGTCACTCTCATTCTCCATGGAGAACACAAGACTACTATGCTCTACTATGCATGTGAACTTGAATGCATGTTCAGAGAAGAGTGGATCAGATAGGGTGCAAACCAACTATTAAGATCCACAGGCAGAATGTATATTTGGTGACCCTTGCACTGGATAAGCTCAGTTAATAGCTGCTTCAGCGAAGAGAAAGAGAGCTACGCAAGGAGAACGTAATAATGACAACACATGGCCATAAACATCAGTGGACAAAATCCATCTAAGATTTGTATTCTGATACTTAGATTTAAGTTTGATGACTTTCATAAGTGTTCTCATGGAACATATTTTCAAGTACCACAAAGACCTTAGGAAAATTCTGAAAGGAAGAAAGAGCAGAACATAGCTGTTGACAGCACAGCACAATGCTTATGTCCACACCTTCCTCCTCATATGTCATCCATGTGACCAGAGCTGGGTCTGGTTCAAGGCATAACTTTCCCTGTCTCACTGTGGGTTGTGCTAAGGTGGGAAGAAAGAAGAGGGAGGGAAGGACGGAGGGAGGGAGGGGAGGGGGAAGAAAGGAGGGAAGGAGGGAGGGAGGGAGACAGATGCTGATTTCTTTAATGCCCCTGTGTTAAAGTGCCTGTCTACACAGTGCTGCTCCTGGTGTGATGGACATTTGGGGAGGTGCTGTGGCAGGTGTTCAAGCTATTAAAAGTAAGCCTTTGAATGGGATTCTGGACCATAAACTGTGCCATCTTTTTTTTCCTGGGCATTTAAGTGAAAATGCTGTCTTTTCTGCTCCTTCCTACCCAACCTGTATCTCCACCCCAGGCCCCAAGTGAGGCATCCATGAGATCCTACAAGAAAATCTTTAAAATCAGAGCAAGAAGACACCGTTTTCTCTTCCAATTACTAATTACCCTGATAGCTTGTCTTTTTAACTTAGGCTGACCAGCACAGAGTAATCAAAGACAAAGAACTGATGGGGGTACTTCGGAGTCCCACATGGTTAAATTCATTTTCATAACATTCAGGAAACACTTCTAACTTAAATCAGAAGGTCTACCATAAAAGAAACTTCATGAACAGCAATTCAAATCTTTACTTCTTAC